AAAGCCTTGCATGGACCCGGATCCTTTGATCCGAACAGATATTGATCGTTGTCATGTGGACCCACATCGGCGGCCACGTGATCCACGGCCTCGATGGATCCGGACCACATGGACTCTAGTCCAAGGAAGCATTTACCCTCCCGTCGATCAAATGTGTAATGGACCGACAGAGCCGTTCGTCGATTGCTACCCGAAGTATTGGATCCAAGCAGATCTCGACCGTGGTCGGGACAATTTTGAATTTGTGTCTGGAGAATGAATTTTGCTTCCCATTCATTATTGAGCTCGATCCCTCCAGTTTCTCCCCCACGCCCACCAAATTGGACCCACGCTCTTGTGTGAGCATAACCCTTTTTTGTTTGTCATTTCAAAGCATATTCATCAATTTGTATTTTTTACAAGACTTATTTTGTATGTTATTCTTGGGATGATATTCAATTTGTTTTATTTCAAATTAATCGAATTTTTTATTCAATTTGGGCTTGTTTTTACCCAACTTTGGGAAAAAAACACATTCCCAATTGAAATTTTCTAAAATTGACACTGTATTAAGGAAATTGGATTTAAAATAAGACTAATGACTATTTTTATGGAATTTTTAGACTCCATTTGCTATTTTTCTTGATTTTCACCCTTATTTTGACCAAAAGAAATCAAGGACAAATTCAGGAAAATTTTAAAAATTTTATTTTTGATTTAGAAATAGGTTCCTAAGCTTGGCCAAGGTTCCTAATCCTAATTTTGTGATTTTTGAAAAAATTTGAAAAAATAAGCTAAAAATCAGATGTCAACAGACCTGCAAACCTTTCCGCAACTTCCCTTATCTCTACATGCTCAACAAGATGGGCTTGAACTTCCACAGCTAAAGGAGTTGCTTGTGCAAAACTGTGTATCCCTGGAGAAATTGAGGCTATCAAGAACGAGGAAGCTGAAAGATGTCAAGGTGGAAAATTGTCCAAAGCTAGCCAAGATCCAATTTTCTTGGGTGTTCGAATCACCGGAGGAATTGTCTATTCGATATTGCAAGTCCTTCGAAAGGATAGTTTATGAGCCTGCTGATGAGTTGATTAATTGTGAAGGGAGACTAATTTTTCTATCGAGAGTCTTAAATAAGTTGCGTAATCTCGAACTGTCGAGTTGCCCTAAGATACTCGACATTCGAGTCATAGGTACATCGGAATCGTGGGTAAAGTTTGAACTTTCCGATTGTCCTGATTTGCAAAGTATTGGTGGTTTATCAACTTAAAGAACCTGAGGTCTTTAGATATCCAGTGCTGCAATAGGCTACGGGTTGTCCAGGGCATCGACGAGTTGGAGTTTTTGGCCTATTTAGTACTGCATAGATGCAAATCATTGGAAATGCCGATTGATGTATCAACCACCAAATTGCCAAATGCTTGCCACATATATATATCTCCAAACGCGGGAGATTATGTGGGCTTCTGAAGAATTCAGCGGCTCTGTCCAGTCTTTAAAGCAAAATGAGGTGAATCTAAATCATTCTCACTGTTTTTCTTTTAGATTTTCTTGACGCAACCATCCACAAACATGGATTCAACTTTAAGGTAGAAATGTAATAATCTTGGTAAATCAAAAAATAATCAAACAAACATCAATTAATATTTGGCCTCACTCATATTAAAGCCCGCTCCATATAAGTTTGCTTTATTTTTTCTAATTTCTTTTCTTTTTATTGTATACGAGAAAGTTCTATATGTACAGGAAGTCTATGGGACAAGGTCAGTTTTTGTGACAAATGATTTGAAAAAATTTAATTTTCAGAAGAAATATATAAAATAGCTCAGAGTCTCTTATTAAAATTATTCTTCCATTTTATATGGAGTGAATTGTTTAGTTTAGCGAAACTTTTACGTAATACACTTTACTTTATTGTCCATTTTAACTTAGGGTGCTTGTCCAGCACCTTGCTTTGCAGAATGCTGAACCCAAATTTTGATCCCATTATCCCCAAACTACCCTTACTTATTTTGGCTTATTCCGGTTTGGCCCCGTTGTCCTCCTCTATCCTGAAAGAGAGGCCGGGGGGGCCTGCCGAGAGCCGCGACCCGGCCAGTGGGACCCAGCCCGGCGCCGCGCGAGTCCAGGCCGACAGGCCGCAGGCCGGGGCGGGCGACCGGGCGGCGGCCGCCGCCGAGGCCGGGGCGAGGGAGGCGGCCGCTTGGGTCTCGCGCGACCCCCCGGGTCACTTCCGGCGCAACTGGCGTTGCCCCCAGGCCGCCTCGGGGCGGTCGCCCGACCTCAGCGCCGGCTCGACCCCGTGCCAATCAGGCCTGGCGTCGCGTGGCGCCATTTAGGCCTAGCCGGCGGCGCCGGTCCAACCGTAGATAGGAGGGCCAGGCCTCCGGCGAAGGGTAAGTTAGGTTTTTATTCCTAAAGTCCATTTGCAAAAATAATTCACCAAACACTATATTTTGGCAAAAGTAGCTTTATAAAATATTTTTACCAAACACCATTTGCATTTCCCCAATGGATTTTCACCCAAAGGTATTTGCATTCCCCCAAATATCATTTTCAAAGTTGAACCAAACAGGCCCTTAATACATTAAAAGAATCCGACACCCATTGCACAGCTCAAAAAAAAATAAATTGCTAAAGGAGGTGTTTCAAGAACACAACTTACATGGTCCATCTATCCACTAATCAAGTGACTTATGTAGAATTGAGTGTTACTTGAATTTGCATGTGGTTGGCTCGGCCAAGTAGGAAGTGTGTTCCAAAAGCATCTAAAAAATATTTTAAGATTTTTCATCCTGAAGAACAAAAATGAGAATCTACCTGTATTTCTGCATTGTCCCCTGTTTCTGACAATTTGATAAAAAGCCACTTCAAACAGAAATTCCAGTAGCTGATCTTTCAGACATTTATTATTTTAGTCGTGAAGCATTTTATTTCGAGTAGAGTGTTCTGCTGCCCATTTAACTTTTGATACATAGTCTGAGTCTTGGTTTTAACTTACACTATTACTTAGTCCATTGTGTACTTAAGAACTTCATAATTTAGCTGAACAAAACCAGTTTTCATCAAAGTAGTGATACACCTGACAAGACGAAGTGAATTTATGCGTATGCGAATTCACATAGATGAAATTTCATTAATTTAGTTCCATGACTACGCCACCGAGAAAAGGGGGAAATACGAGGGGAGAAGGTTTTATCCACTTGATTTATAACTAGCTCCGGACCTCCGGTCATTTTCTGGTGATAACTTTTTGTTGCTCTCTCTTAAAACCTTATATCTAAGGCGAATAAGGCGTCGGACCCATAAAATATTTTACTAATCCCATGAACCTGGTAGGGTATAAGTGAACGACTTGGTGGATGGCTTCAATGTGAAATTTTTTGCAATTGGTGGTATGGAAAATCGAACCCGTGTGATTTGCATAATCCGCATACACAATTTCGTTCCTTCATCATTATGCGAATCCCACATGATTTGCCATATTTTTTTTATACGATATTGTTTCATCTTATATAAAAATCATTTCTCGTATTTCAATCTCAAAAAATGCAATCATTTCTTGTATTTCATTTTATATATATGACTTACATTAGTATCTTTCGAGGAATTTAGAACAACTTCTATTTATTTTCTTGTACATAGTATACATTGACAAATAAATCAAACACTGTAGACATTAGTTGATATGTATGACTGATCGATTTGATTGCATAGTCTTAATTATTTCATTCCTTTTTTGAAATTTTCATGAAAGATTGGTTGTGATTTTATTTTTTAGGAATCACGCTTTAAATGGCCTACGTGTTTTGGACGCTTGTGAAGTTTTGAAGACAACTTGCGCGACAATTGTTAGCATGCAGGGGGCGGAACTAGCATATTTCTAAGAATGACTTCAGATAGCAGGACATCAAGTTAGGATGCAGGTGAGACCTTATCATTATCAAGCTAGATAGATGAATTGCCCTGTGGCAGATTTGAGAGAGTTACTGTTCTTCACATCAACATTTCTGATCCTTGAATTCTTAAAAGATTCTTCGCTTGAATTAGTGACCTTAGGATTGACGCATATCTTTTCTGTTGGTTTTGACAACTCATTCAAATTGCCCGTCTTGTATGGAGAACTGCAAAAGTTTAGTCCAAGCTGACTAAGCATATGCGGAATAATGTTGTGTCAAAAGGCCTAATCCAATATATGAAATCTACTTGTTAGAGCTGGCAATTTATCTAACACAGGATATTACATAACAGGAAGAGTATCATACATAGAACAGATATGACGTGACATTGATACATCTTTTTTTATAAACAGGAGTTATTTCGGTCTTAAAAGTGATAATTATCTCAAAGAATATCACTCCCAATTCATGTGACTCAAAAGGTTCAACTAAAACATAAATATATCAGGCTAGATCAGATTGTGAACCCTACTTCCATGCTTGTAGTCTTCTAGTAGTTAATTCAGTCGTACGTTACCAGAGACAAAGATGTCAATATCCTCTTTAAAGCATGCTGTGGTGAATTTAACATGAACTTTCCTGGAAAATTGTAATGGAAGAAATCAGACTTGAGACACAATTGCAACTAAAAGTTTATAGTTTCAGCTGAAAAGGTTATAATTTCACCAACAGCAAGCAAATGATGTAGAACATCAAAAGAATTTTCACAAGTATAAACATTTGTGTTGATCAAACTAGTAAATACAGCAGTTAGGAGAGCGTCCAATGTCTCAACGCAAACTATGATATACAATCAAACAAAAACTATCTCATTTTACCCTTGTTGAAAGTCCATTATATAGCAGAGGAGTGATAACCAGGGCACCTTTATAAGGGAAGCAAGCAAAATTTTCCGTTTTCTCCCTCTGGGGGGAGGGCGTGGGGGCGGTAAGCACATAACCAACACATTGCTAACTCGCTGTCAACAACTTTTAAGTGAAGTATATGGGAAAAGAAAGTGGTAGAACTTGAACAAAATTTCATTTAGCTCTAAAATTACAACTTTATTGGGTACAGATGCCTCACCCCAGCTGAGAAGTGGATCTCACACTGATATGGCTTCCAGTCAAAGGAGAATGACTTTTTGTGTGCCCCCTTGCAAGTGAATTCAGACCAATGAGCGACTTTCCCCCAACTTGAGAATCTTTGGCGTTGTCTCCCAACCTGTTGAAGATTGCATAATCCATGTCATGTTATAAAGCACAGAATGTCCGATCAATGAAACCAGAATAAAAAATAAAATCTTTACCAAGTTTCATTTAGATGTACAGAAGGAAGTCTTTTGCTGCTAATTTGAGTAAGCTTTCTCCCAGTTGATGTTTTATTGAGAAGACTGACTCTTAATTTCCTCTGATCTCTTGAATAAATTTGAGTGGGCTTGTCCAGCTGGCTCTCTACAGGTAAAGAAAGAGTCACAACATATAAGCTGCAGGCTCTCTGCTTTGGACATTTACATAGTAGTAAAGGTGAGCTAAGAAGTGCAAAAATGTTATGATGTTGATCCGCCAACTTTTAAATTGAACTCTGAAAAAAACCATCAAATGTGTCCACATGATAGCCAAAACTCAATGAATGAGTGCATCAAACTGATACTCACAGTTGAACCTTCTGAGCATACATTGCCACAAGAATATATGGCTTCCCCTACCATTTCTTCCCGGTTACTCTGCTCTTCACCCAAAGTGGAATTCAAACTTTTGACAATGGAAAAATCTTTTCTTAAAATGTCTGGAATGGTATTAAAATTTGCATTAACCCTGGGCTGCACATTTACTTCTCTTGATACTGTTTTATCTGATGATTACCTTGTTGATCAGATTCTTGAGTACACATGCTGTTTGACCTTTCCAAAGAAGATCGTTCCAGGATTGCATTTCTACAGGCTGCGGACTTTGGCACCCAATCATCCATTTTTGGGTTGGGCATAGAAGTTGAAGTTACAGAAGTTTCTACCTGAATCTCTGGTGTACCCACACAGCGTGCAGATTGAACATGATCAATGATAGCATTATCATCAGAGTCAGGAATTGCCTCAGGAAGGCGAGTTTTTGAGCCCTGGTGCACATTCATCTATGAAGATCTCCCTTTGCTTCCTATAACCTTCTTCCCACCTTGTTCTCCCTCAGTCATGGGTGAATCGAGATTAAAGCCATCCAATCTGTATAGCACAGATGACTGCTAAGATCCTAAATTGCAATCACAACTCATGACATCGGTTTCAATATTTTCCTTCAGTTGAAAATATAATCTCATGTATCAAGTCCTAGATGGATGCATTGTGAAGCTGTCTTACTCATTAGAGTCGAAGGAGAAAGAAAAGCTTTTCTTCGAAATTCCTTCACCAGGTGGTTCTGCTTCATTTCTGCCTTTGTTGTCTGAAGATTTCTTAGATGGGCAGGACAAATCAAGATCTGGCATGTCCACTTTGAGTGATGATAACTTGTCAAAATCAGCATCCAGGTTAAAATCAACATCCCTAAAAAAGGTTTTTTAACATTTAATTTACAGAAAGCAGAGATATATACCACTGTCATAAGAATTGAGATTGTAAACAAGCATTCATGCATCTTCACCGTCATTTGTCGTTTGGAAGATATTTGAATTGGTTGGATGGTATGTAAAGCTTATAGAGTACCTAGTAATGATTTATCCACTTTCAGATTCACCATTGCAGTTTCCCTTTGTGGTTCTGCCATCCGCAAGGGAAATAGTGAGGATAGCATATATAAAAAAAGAGAGAATCCAAATGGTCCCAGAATTTACAAAAGATAAGGGAAAACCCCTTAGAGTTGGCTACGCTACACAGAACTAACATCTCTTTGTCAAAACATTGCATCTTCAACAATTTTGCACTTACCTTTAGCAGAACCATATTTAAACTAGCCTATGAGGGACCTAAGCCAGTCCATTAAAGTTAAAAACCAAAGGTCTATATATAAACAGTTCATACAGGAGCAGCACTTACTTATACAAAGTGGTTAGGGCTGGGGGAGTTTGCAAGCTTTAAATTTAAAACAGTGCGACCAAAAACACACAAACGCACATGCCCGTCATATAATTCTGAAGAGTCACTCTTCATCCTTCCATAAATGCAAAGGTAAAAGATTTCCAATCTGACAGCAGTGATGAAATGGACAGCTAATCACCAAAATAATAGTAACGATCATTTCGAGATTCCTCTGCCTATATTCAAGTGGGACATGAGTCTCTCATGCTCCTAATATGAAATGTTCTTCAACTAGACCGAAAGCGGATCAACTATAGCTATTGCCAAACACGAACAAATGCAGTTTTAAACAGTTCATCCAGGGGCAAAGCATAGGGCTAATCCAGTATAAACCTCATGCCAAGAAAAGAAGACAGATGCCTTATGACAGCCTCAAAAGTATAGGTCGTCCTATCGCATTAAGATCAACCACTATCCAGCACAATGAAGTTCAATTAGGATGAATATTATAACACAAATACATCAGAACAGCTACTTATCATGGCATCGTTCCTCCAAAGAGTTGTCGTGAAGTAGCATTATCTTTGTGTATGATCCGTGGCCTAGCAGAGTAAAATCTAATACTCGTATCTCAGACATCAAGACAGTGAGTAGGTAAATGCTGTAAGTCATAGTCTTTTTCTCTACATAAAAATCAACATCGCAGTGAACTACAGGAGCTATAGAATTCCAGTAATAGGTTTACAGCAATTCTGACCATAAATTTATATATAAGCTTGTTTCATAGGAAAGTACACGTCCCAGTTTCTGAAGTCAAATGCGCCGGAATACTCACAGAGATATATCAGAGAGTCAACATAATAATTTTAAAAAAAATTCTTCGCTGTGCCTAAACAACAAAATTGTAGAAGATGCTCGGATGAACACAATAAAGCTAATCAACATGGATCACAAAGAGGTTCTTCTGAAATCAAATGAACCTGCTGCAATGGAGGATGGAGACGCAAAACGAACATGACAGCGAGAGATAAGGCACGACAAAGCGAGACTCCAAGGGAACTCTTCGTCGGAAAAGTTTGCATCTCATCACATGTAAGCTTCGCGCGCTCATGAATTACCACTGTCTAACACTACGAAGCAAATGGCCAACACCGATATCTCAGAGTTACGAGCAACGAAGACGCGACGGAACTCCACAGAAAGCCATTGACAGAAGAAATCGACCGACTACAAGAGCTCAAGATCAATTCGCATATCAGTTTTTTATCTGAGGTTCTGAATGGCAACAGATACATATATAAGTTGGTAATTTAATTAAAATTATACTAAATTTACCAACGAACAACCCAAAAAAATCGCCCGTCCTTTTCTTTCACCAACAATTGTTGAATTCTTACAAATAATTAATCAAAATTATCGATATAGCAAAAAAAAATGAATATATTATGACACGGAAGTATAGAATTCTGGCTCCGTTTCCCCCAATAACATTCATTCAATCGTTAGGGATTATGGCATGAAATGCTCCACGTCTTACATCCACCAAACTCCACACCATTGAAGATCCCAACCACACCCTTTCTCTTAGCAAAAAGTTTGGTGGCATCAACAAAGATGTGGACCGTCCTTAAATCCCCAACAAAGTCATACTCTCCCGGAATGAAAACAACCGATCGACCAAAATGCAAGTCCAAATCCATGAAACCAAACTCATCCAACCCTCGACGACACCCCCTCTCGCTCAAGACCGGGTCCTCCCCCTCTCGCACCTCGACGCCGATCCCAATCTCGACGTCACGTTCCGTTACCTCCGCGCCTACGTAAATGCCGACCAAACGAAGCATGCCCGCGATCCATACCATGTCGTCTCTAGAGCGCTGTCTCGTGCGCTTTGTTACTACTACCCTCTGTGCGGCACGCTTCGCCGCGGCAATAATGACCGGTGCGGCCTCGAGCTACGCTGTGCCGCCGGCCAAGGCATGCCGCTCATTCACGCCACCGCCAATTGCACTCTCCATGCGGTCAACCAACTCGATGATGCGGAGTCGGGTTTCCTGGAGCGGCTGATACCCGACCCGGATCCGGAGGAGAGTTTGGTCAACCCGTGCATGCTCCAAGTCACGGTGTTCGAATGCGGGGGGTTTAGCTTAGGCGCCGCCATACACCACGCCATGTGTGACGGGCTCGGGGCGACCCTGTTCTTCGGGGCGGCGGCGGAGCTAGCTCGTGGGGCGGAGCGAGTTTCCATCGAGCCGGTGTGGGACCGGGATGTCTTGCTGGGGCCGAGGAGTCCGGTCCGGGTCGAGGCGCCAGTTGGGGATTACTTGTGCGAGAAGGGTCGTGACCCGTACGATGATGAAGAGGATTGTGCGTTTGTGAGGGAGTTTTTCCATGTGAGGGAGGAGTGGTTGGACCGGCTCAAGGCGTTGCTGTTGGAGAATTGTGGCCAGAGGTTCACCACGTTCGAAGCTTTGGGTGCATTCATTTGGCGTGCAAAGTAAGTGTCATTTACATTCACCAACCATTGGAGATTACCTTAGGATTATCCTTCTGATTACACGGTTAATCTAGAGTTTTGCACAAGTGTACATTTCCGGTCACAACCTCTTGACTTCAATTGATTCACAATTTTTTTGAAACAGGGTCAAGGTATCAGACATTCCGGGCGACGAAACGGTGAAATTCTCGTACTCGACGAACATCCGCAAGCTGCTGAAACCGCCATTGCCGGTCGGCTACTGGGGCAACGGATGTGTCCCGATATACGTCCAGCTAACGGCGAGAGACTTGCTGGAAAAGCCAATTTGGGAGATCGCAGAGCTGATCAGGAAGAGCAAGCGCAATGCAAGCGATGAGTACGTGCGGTCATACATTGACTTTCAAGAGGCACATCGAAGAGAAGGCGTCTCGGCTGGTAAGAAGGAGAAGGCATTCTTTTTTTTAAGATTTACATTGCATAGCAGGAGTTTATATGGTCCACAAAATATTATATATTTATCTATTAATACGTTATGATTATGGAGAGACAAACGATTCAATTTTCAATAAATTGAGTGTATGTTAAAGAAATATACTCTTTTATTTCAATTTCTGAGGAAAAAAATTTATTGGCTTGTAAGATCACATCCTTAGGACACGTTGTATAAGGATGCATAAGAAGGAGAAGGCATTCTTTTTTTTTTTTAAGATTTACTTTGCATAGCAGGCATCGGTATTGACCACGAATTAGTATATATTTGTTTATTGTTACATTATGATTATGGAGAGGCAAGCCAATCAATTTTCAATAAATTGAGTGCATTTACAGAAATATACTCTTTTATTTCAATTTCTCAGTAAGATATTTATTGGCTTGTAATATCACATGCTTAGGACACGTTGTATAAGGATGCATAAGTTACTTTATGATCCTATATAGCTAAGTGTCCGCATTTTATGAATACATGCTCATTATCATCTAATGTCCCATAGATAGGCACACTAGCTTAACACTTTTATATATCTTGAGATCTTCCTTAGGAGTACGATATTGTGTTCTCTCAAATTTAGGCGATATGCAGTGAGTTGGGAGACTACAACATTTAGTAGAATTAGTCAAATGTTCGAAGAATCTCGGATATCCAATTTGAAACATAAGACTGTTAGCTGACTAGTGTATCACGGCAATTTATCGAATGTCATCTAACACAAACTATTATTTCACATATTTCAACGCATTTTCATAGTATAACTGGCTATAGCATCAGCTATAGAATGAGACCACTCCATACTTTACATTTTCAGGCAAGAATGTGAGTGGATTCACAGATTGGAGGCATTTGGGGCACTCGACGGTGGATTTTGGGTGGGGAGGACCGGCCAACGTGTTGCCCCTCTCGAGGAAGCTCTTGGGAAGCAACGAGGCTTGCTTCTTCTTGCCTTGTTCTGAGGCTGGACTTGGAGATCCGAGCGATGGCTTTAGGATCTTGGTGAATTTGAAGGAAAAGTGCTTGTGTGGTTTTAGGGAGGAGATGGAGAAGCTTGGGAAGATGGAGTTTGGGTTTGCTTGATGTCAAGCAAAGATGCTTTAGTGGCTATTTCACTGCATGTATGTGGAAGTTGGTTTTGTACTTTGGAGGAAGTTCCTATTCCAAGTTTGATCTATTTCTCATTTCATGTCAAGAATTTATTGTGATTGCTACACTATTTATGTGTCGAAGAAAGTGAGGGTATTACATGTTAAAATCAACATTTATACGTGAATTCAAAACGAAAAAACGAAAATCAATGGAAGAATTATGTAGTCATGAATGAAGAAGTTATGCCCGTGGTACTAAAAATCTTATTTGAATCGTGTCACAGCTATTGCAAGTAAAGCCTAAGCCTCAAGATGAGGGTTGCAAAGCCTAGAATTTCGTACGAGTGAACCTATCATCACAATTCTAAATCTTTCACTTATCAAATGCTCGATTTGGCAATTTAGCTAGCTAAATTAACAAAGTGGCAGTGAAAACGTAGCTAAATAGCTAGTCCAATTGCAATGAGAAAGACCTAGCTAAGCAGCTAGTCCCATGATCAGCTCTAAAGATTGGCCTTACCACATCATCAGAAGCCTTTAACATGTTAGTCATTATCTCAATTAAACACCTGTCCCCAATTCTTCTTTTGATGCAATGGGATTGTTTATTTAACAAATATTACATAGACGAAGTCTATTCTACCAAACTAATCACACATTTCAATAAACTGAATGATCCATACCAAATCTCACAAAAAAATTCTAATTTCCATAAAATTTCATTACCGTGATCGGTTCTGTGTAACACATTATAGCCCCCGGATTAGCTTTGTACAAAGTTTGTTAGAAGAAAAAAACACCAACGCAAAATTTGAACGATGGAAAGATAATTTTTTCCTCAGTTTAGACAGATTTTGCCTTGACCATAAGTTAACTAAATAAGGAAATTGAGATAAGAAAAGAAAATTAGAGGAAAGCCACGCCAATGCAAATAATAGATGTTAATCCGTCTCGCACTGCTCATGACATGCATTTAAACATATTTTATAAACCGGTTAGCTCGTCAAACCGATAGCTCGAGTTGTCAAGAAAATGAGTCAACAACATATATCAAGCATATATTTATTGATTCTCCTATGTGTAATGCGTTGGATATGCATCGTTGGCTCTTCTTCATTGTAGCATCTTGAGCCTTTTTGACATTTTGTGTATATAAGCATAACGATGGAAGATTAGGCTGGGCCGAAGGGGGAGCAAAGTCCAGTAGGAGGAGCATCTCGAAATCTTATTACCTTATCCTCAAATTGACAAACCAATAGGAAAATTCCACAATAAAAAAATTAAATAAATAAATCTGACAGAAAATCTATGTGAGGCTAAGCGAGAGAAGCACTAGCTCCGTGACACGAAGCCATGGCGTCTCTGCTCGGAACTTCTTCCACAGCAATCTTGGCCTGTCGACGCCTCTCTTCATCATCACCTATCTTCCCACCTTCAATTTCAGGTGCGCTTTCCTTTACGTGTTTCTGAGATGTTTTTTTCACGCGTTTGGGGGATAATCCGGATGACCCATTTCGTTTCTGCTCTCTTGTCTGCCCAAATTCGACTCTTTCAAGCTCGGGGTTTATGAGATTTTTAATGGGTCCGTGGGTTCTTCCTTTGTTTTTGAAATTTCTTGTTTGCAGTGCAGAATCATGGCAAGAAATGCTATGGAGGGATTGGGTTTCAGACCAAGAGAGGGAGGTCGCCGTGGCATCTTGCCGTCACCAATGTTGCAACTGATGTCAATTCTGTTGAGCAGGTGTTGATTAACTTCTTTTCTTTTTCTTTTTTAGCTCTATGTAATGCGTTCTATTCAAGCACGTCACTGTGAAATCACGTTTTCTGGGAAATTTGTGCAAGAGACTAATGTAGATTGATTCTTCAAATTTGTTAATTGCTGTCATATCTTGACAAATGCTGAGTTTTCAGTGAAAGTAGAGAAAAAATGGGTTGCTTCCGCTTTATTTGCCGTGAACAGGTTGCGTGTTCTTTAGGATGAGAATTTCTTAGGGTGAGGCATTACGCTAATCAAAGTCGATTGGGAGAAAGAAAATGTTATGCAGTTGATGGTTGTTTGAGGGCAGTCTTGTTGACTGAAGTGAGAATTATTTGATAGAGAATTAGCATGGATTGCTTCTGTAGAATTTTTTGAGCTGGATTGGATGGTTTTCATTTTTCAGGCTCAGAAGCTTGCCTCTAAGGAGAGTCAGAGGCCGGTCTATCCTTTCGCGGCTATAGTCGGGCAAGATGAGATGAAGCTATGCCTCTTACTAAACGTGATTGATCCTAAGATTGGTGGTGTCATGATTATGGGAGATAGGGGCACCGGAAAATCCACAACGGTCCGATCATTGGTCGATTTACTCCCTGAGATCGAGGTGGTCGCTGGCGACCCGTATAACTCGGACCCTAAAGATCCTGAATCCATGGGCGTTGAAGTTCGGGAACGAGTGATAAAAGGGGAACAAGTCCCTGTTGTGTCGACCAAAATCAACATGGTGGATTTGCCACTGGGAGCTACAGAAGATAGGGTTTGCGGTACGATCGATATCGAGAAAGCCCTCACTGAGGGTGTCAAGGCATTTGAGCCAGGCCTTCTTGCTAAAGCTAACAGAGGGATTCTTTATGTGGACGAAGTTAACCTTCTGGATGATCACTTGGTGGACGTTCTTTTAGATTCCGCCGCCTCGGGATGGAACACTGTGGAGAGAGAAGGAATTTCCATTTCGCATCCCGCTCGATTCATTCTCATTGGCTCAGGAAATCCCGAAGAAGGGGAGTTGAGACCGCAGCTTCTTGATCGGTTCGGTATGCACGCACAGGTAGGGACAGTGAGGGATGCGGAACTGAGGGTGAAGATCGTGGAGGAGAGATCGAGATTCGACAAGAACCCCAAGGAGTTCCGTGATTCTTACATAGCAGAGCAAGAGAAGTTGCAGAAGCAAATATCCTCAGCTAGGAGTAATCTCTTTTCTGTCCAGATCGAACGAGATCTCAAGTTGAAAATCTCCAAGGTTTGCGCTGAGCTCAATGTCGATGGATTAAGAGGAGATATCGTGAGTAACAGAGCAGCTAAGGCCTTGGCTGCTCTGAAGGGAAGAGACAATGTAACCGCGGAAGATATTGCCACTGTGATTCCAAACTGCTTGAGGCATCGGCTTCGCAAAGATCCCTTGGAATCAATTGACTCGGGACTACTGATCATCGAAAAGTTTTATGAGGTTTTCAGCTGAGGCAGGTAGCGAAACGACTCTTTTCCCTTGCTGAAATTACTTTTTTCCCCCTTCCCACTGTAATTCTTGCATTGTAGCTGTTCTTTAATGAATGAAATCTTAAGTGGAGTGGCATTTCAGTTCTATTGGTCACTATCGCTCCAAAAGCTTGTTTATGCATGTGGAACATCCATGCTAGTGAAGTAGGTCTTGTTCTTGATCGTGATATTGAGGAAACTAAAAGGAAGAAGGAAAGATTAATTATGGATAGTGATCCTGTTGCCAAAGTTCCTTTTCCTCCATTTTCTTGTGATTCCAAATGTTTGATCTGCGATTCTACATGGGATTTGAGAAGGTTGCTATTTTCAAACTGAAAGTTTCCTTTGCAGTTAAGTGCCTATTTGTTGCACTGTTCCTTTTCCTCTATTTGTATACATTGTGATGTACAGATCGAATCGCAAGAAAGCTAAGAACAGATTCTAGGATGTAGTAGAAATGTTAGAGGGCTAATTTGCGCATAGGAAAAAATTCTAAGTAAATATTAGTTTTAACAAGGTAGAAAGTAATTAAGTAAATTATATAGCACATTTTATACAAGTTGAGGAAAAGAACTCTGTTGTATAGACAATCACACCTCTGTCAGCTGTCATGGGGACAATTCTTTTTTTTTTTTCTCTTGAAGAGTTAAACATGGTTTGTGTAGGACTTTGTAAAACTCATGTTTTCTAATATGTAAAAAGAGTTCTAGGCAATTGAGTTGATGGCCATGGAAAAAGGTTATCCCCGAGTTTTGACAAGAGCTCGGCCAATTAGTATTGCTATTACGTGGTGAGTCTGAGTCCCTCTTCAGCAGTCGGCCATATTTTTTCTTCCTTTTAGAGATGGTCAGCATCCCTGTCATCCTCATGTTCTCGACCTTACAGAGCTGAGCGGACATTTCGACGATGTCCTACATGCCAATCCACAGTTCCATGCCTATGTATAATGCGAAATCTTCATTCACAAGTCGGCGATTTCGTGTGATGTCAGTTTGGATTTGGACCGTACGATCGAGACTCTGCCCGCCGAGGGATATTCCCATTCGAGGCAGGAGTATCGAGTTCATGAATGTCCATTGACCTTCATTGTTTGAATAGCCAAGAATCAGGCATGTCACAGAATGCTTTGCAATTGAAGCTCTAAATGAACATGCACAAGAGATCCGGGGGCACATTAGTATTAGACAACCACAATGTAGTAGCCATATCAGTCTCTTAACACTCCAGCATGCGGAACTATGAGAATCGATATCCAAATATCCGTCGTGATTTCGAATTCGCTACCAAATGCAGTGGTTCGCAGGCGTGAGTTTCTCCATTATTAACTGACACTTACCGGCTTGGTAGCTCAAATTCAGGTTTCTGTATCTACATCAGATGAAAAGAATAGCTACTCTCACAATGTCAAGATTGGAACTGTGTTGAGATTGTGTGTGATTATGGAACAACACACAACATCCTAGGAATGCCAAAATTTGAGACAGAGCTCTGCAAACGCCGGTGGCCGCTGGTATACGACTGATGCAGTCCTTATCAGTATTCCAGCTGTTAGAGCAAATATTTCATACTTTTTATCCGCTGTTTGATAGTCAAAACGATGGAGCAGATACTTATCTCCCATCCACTCCCTCTCCTCCGCTCTTCTGTTCTCATCCTGTGACACATCCGCGAAATTCAATTGGCTTCATGAGATAAATTTCTCGCTGGAGCGAAATGTTTTCCCAACAATAACAAGGACCAATCGCCGTACCTGAAGAAACATTTCTAAAGGCGCATCGAAGATCACTTCCACCTCGGCTGGATTCGTGGCTGGACAGTACGCATTCTTGTCTGCAAGAATGCCAACCACCGGAACCACCGTGATACCGATCTGTGCAAATTGTGTACAAATTGAAGACGGCAAAGGAAACTTTAGACGGAAATGTTTCATGATCTATTTTCAGTCATCAGATAGGCAAGATCAGAAATATTTGTTGATTATTTCGCAATTCCAGCACTAAATTATGAAGAAACATGGAGACTGCAGTTTACTGCGGCCTCTCATCGCGAGTATTGGTACTATCATCTCCAGCATAGTTTCCTCATCTCTACGAAACAACATCGTTCTGAGAAATGACTAGCTGAGCATCGGCATCACTAGAAACTCAATGCGAAGACAGACCAAGAGGGCAAACAATGGAGACTCAGGCAGCTGTCCTTACCTTGGTCACAAATGGTTGAAGAACAGTGACGACTTCAACAAGAGATGGGTCCAACCCGATCTCCTCCTTGGCCTCCCTCAAGGCCGTCGCTACGTCGTCGGCGTCGCCGTCCTCCCGTTTCCCACCAGGCAATGAAACTTCTCCTGCAAGAATGGAACACACCGCACAGATTATGTCTCCACTCATGCATAGAAACCGGAAGTCATAACGAGGTGGAACTATGACACAGTGACGGTATCGGTAAAAGCATGTAAATAAAATTGACAATAGTTAAAACAATATTAGACTAAGCAAATTTGTAAAGAATATCCATGGATCTTGAAATTATTCACATAAACTCAATTATTTAAATAATGTCGAAGGGTCTTGTAATTGAAAAAATTATCTTGTCAAAATGGGTGTAAAATGTGAAAGTACCATTTACTAAAAGTTCTTTATTTAAATGCTGGAAACTGAAAGTTCAGTACTTAATGAGACTTAATTTGCCTGAAAACCCTAATTAGAATTGAGTTGCAGGATTCAATTAAATAAAAAAAAATTTACTAATCTGGTAAGTAAGGAATGGGTTAATTAATCCACTAAGTAGAAAAGTAATAGATGTTCACTGGTATCTTTGCCAATTTTTATGTCAAAAATTACAATAATTACTACAGTTTCATGTCTGGAAAGAAAGTAATGTTATTCAGTAATTCGTTCTCGATTTTTGTCAAACAACTATTTTATTTTACTTTCAGCACTTGATATTACCACCACTTAAAATCTTAGTGCTTACAATTAAAGCAATTATTTTCCAATTTCACCAAACGAGCCCAAAGTGATTCGCCAAATTTTTTATCATGACTATTTAAAGAAGCTAATGATGCGACACATGGATATGCTTGTTTCAATACCCAATTGAAATTCGCCACGTCATTCAATAAGTAAAAATTCAATAAAAAAAACTCTTGGTACCCTCTATCATTTTCCAATCAATCATTCCCCTCGTGTCGAAATTACCAACATTGGTCAACGCTGATGGTATAAATTACATGCCCGTTCGAAGATTTCAAAATTTTAAAAATTCATGCCAACCTAACTTTTGTCTTCCCACATTTTTGATTATCCACTATTTTGGCTACCCAAATATCCACTTTTTTAATTAAATATTCAGCTGCTTCTACAAATTATGTTTAATTATCATAATCAAGACTTCAATTATAGACGCCGTTGTTGACACGATAACGTGTTGACTGCTGAGAAATGCTAATAGATCTTTCGACCTGTGGGTAATCCGTAATTAATGCAAACCTTGAGGGCCTGGAAAATGGGAAGGAAAGCCTACCAGGGTGAGCGGAAAGCGTGGAGGCGCGTTTGGTGAGGAGGACACGCAGATCGCCGCCGTCACCGCTGCCGCCGCCAGCACTGCCGTCTTGGAAGAGGCAGATGAGAACCGCGGCTCTCGCCCGATTGGGCCTGCGGCGGGGAGACTCCGTCGTGGTCTCCGACCTTCGACCGGCGCCCGTTTCGGAGCCGTCTGGCTTTTCGTGCTGTTGCTGATCCGTTTGTCCGGAAGGAGGCGGCGGCTCGTAGCGACGGAGCCGCCGCGCCAGGGCCGCGAGCCCGTGGGAGTCCGGGAGCGTGAGCAGAGAGGTTTCTGATGGAGGAGGAGTAGTCATGGCTTCAGTTGGTGGGTTGGTTGGACAATGGGCAAGTGCATTATATAGGTACGAGGAGGTATCTCGGGTCACGGTCGTGCCACGTGGCGTAATGGGTCGACAGGAAGAGCGTGGACAAGAAGCCATTCCCTTCTTGGGTCCATCCATTGATCACAGCTTAACTTCTACCATAAGACCGAGTGTTTTACAAGATGAGCATCTGTGGATGGCATTCAGTAATCCTAGAGATGATTTATTTTTCAATATAGTGGTTACGCATAACACGAGACGAACATTACATTGGAAGCTGCAAAACTCCCTCGACTGTCTCATCTCGTGCGGCTGGAAGTTAAAGACCAGTGTCGCGCCGCCTAGTCGGTATTCGTCTTCCATACGTGCCTGGAAGTGCTGATGGTGCTTTGAATGTGAAGGAATCAATGGCTAACGGCCCCGCTAATGCTTGTAGATTCACTTGGTGGACGTTCTTTTAGATTCCGCCGCCTCGGGATGGAGCACCGTGGAGAGAGAAGGAATCTCCATTTCTCATCCCGCTCGGTTCATTCTCATTGGCTCTGGAAATCCCGCAGAAGGGCAGTTGAGACCGCAGCTTCTTGATCGGTTCGGTATGCACGCACGGGTAGGGACAGTGAGGGATGAAGAGCTGAGGGTAAAGATCGTGGACAAAAGAGCGAGATTCGATACAGAAAAAACCCCAGGAGTTCCGTGATTCTTACATAGCAGAGCAAGAGGAGTTGCAGCAGCAAATAGCCTCGGCTAGGAGTAATCACTCTTTAGTGTCCAGATTGATCAAGATCTCAAGGGGAAAATCTCCAAGGTTTGCGCCGAGAGCTGAATGTTGATGGACCAAGCGCAGATATCGTGACTAACAGAGCAGCTAAGGCCTTGTCTGCTCTGAAGGGAAGAGGCGAGGTAACCGCAGAAGATATCGCCACCGTGATTCCTAAACTGCTTGAGGCATCGGCTTCATAAAGATCCGTTGGAATCAATTGACTCGGGACTGATGGTCATCCAAAAGTTTTATGAGGTTTTCAGCTGAGGCAGGTAGAGATTTTCAAACTGAAAATTTCCATTGCAGTTAGTGTGCATTTCCTCTATTTGTTGCAACGTTCCTTTTCCTCTATTAGTAGACATTGCAATGTATTGATCGAATTGCAAGAAAAGCTAGAAACAAATTCTAGGAATGTAGTGAAAATGGGGCAGGTGCTAATTCACGGATAGCTAACTGATATCCATCATGATTTCGAATTCGCTACCAAGAGCTGTTGTTCCAAGGAATGAGACTTATTGATAACCAACTTGGTAGCTCAAATTAAGGTTTCTGTCTCTACATTAGATGAAGAAAAAATTGCTACTCTCAGAATGTTAAGATAAGAACTGTATTGAGATTGTTAGTGATTATGCAACTGGACAGAGGAACATCCCAGGAATGCCAAAATTTTGGACAGCGCTCTGTAAATGCCGGTGGCCGCTGGTACACGACTGATGCGATCTTTATCAATGTTCCAGCTGTTAGAGCAAATATAACATATTTCTTATCTGCTGTTTGATAGTCGAAATGATGGAGCAGATACTTCTCTCCCACCCACTCCTCCTCCGCTCTTCTGTTCTCGTCCTGTAACACATACATGAAATTCAAGCGGCTTCCTAAGATAAATTTTTTGTTAGAGTGAAAAGTTTTCCCGTCAAAAACGAGGAGCAATCGCCATACCTGAAGAAACATTTCTAAGGGCACGTTGAAGATCACTTCCACCTCAGCTGGATTCGGGGCTGGACGATATGCATTCTTGTCGAAAAGAATGCCAACCACAGGAACCACCATGATACCGATCTATGCAAATTGAAGACGGCAAAAGAAACTCTAGGCAGAAATGTTTCGTGATGATTGGCAAGATCAACAATACTTGCTGATTATTTCGCAATTCCAGCACTAAATTCTGAAGAAACATGGTGACCGCAGTTTACTGCAGGCTCTCATTGCGAGTATCAGTTCTTCGATCTCCAGCATAGTTTCTTCATCTCAACGAAACGATAACGTTCCGAGAAATGACTAGCTAAGCTTCGGCATCGCTAAAAACTTAATGCGACGATCGACCAAGAGCGAAAACAGTCGAGACTCATGCAGCTGCAATAGAACCAATGTACAAGCTGGATCAAAGTCCTCACCTTGGTCGCATATGGTTGAAGAACAGTGACGACTTCAACAAGAGATGGGTCCAACCCGATCTCCTCCTTGGCCTCCCTCAAAGCCGTCGCTACGTCGTCAGCATCGCCTTCCTCCCGTTTCCCACCAGGCGATGAAACTTCTCCTGCAAAAGTGAAATACACCACACAGCTTATGTCTTCACTCGTGCACGGAAACCTTCGATAACAACGGCGAAAAATGACAATGATATGAGTAAAAGCATGTGAAGCAATTGATATATGATCATGTTGATCAAGCTTTAGTTGCTTGTTTAACTCCTTAATATGTGTTGTGAAAGTGGAAAATTACCAAAAAAGTCATAAATCTATTGTACGGTGGCCAAAGCCTTTTAATTTAGCTAATTTAGTTTTAAACCTTTTTAAATTTGCCAATGAAGTCATTCGGGCCAATTTTGATTGGAAATCGCTAATGTAAACACTGGTCGATGCGGCATGATTAGTGCTCACATAGACAATTTTTGCAATTTATTAAAAAAATTCTAAATTTTCTTTTTTCCCTTTTTTGTCTTATTCTCTTTTTCTTTTTATCGTTTTTGGATTTCCGACAACAGGACCACGACAACAGTTGGCCACGGGTGAGGGACAACCCACACCTGACAGGCGAGGGCGGTGCTCTCCCCGAGTGAAAAAAAGAAAAAAAAAATAAAAAATATTACGCAACCAATTAAAGAAGCTAATGATTTTTATCCACACCTGACATTAAATGGCGAGGGTTTACAACCCACACCACGACAACAATTTTTTTTTGATCCTTTTTTTTTTATTGCGAAACAATTTATGTCTTTTTCATTGATACTTACTTTCGTTATTTATTTTTGTAATAGATACAAACAATCGTTTTTAGGTTAATATTTTCTAAATCCTCCATTTTTTTTGTGAAACACACGAACCCTTAAAGAAGCTAATGATTCAAAAATATGGTCCCGCTTATTTTAGGACCCAATTGGAAATTGCCTTGTCATTTGATAAGTGAAATTCAATAGGAAGTCTTAATTCAATTATTCCCCTCGTGTCGAAATTACCAGCATTGTCAAAGATTGATGACTCATGCAGCTGTACAAATTCAATCGACAAATTACGCTTAATCTTTATGAAATCACGACGTTAAATATAGACTACATTGTGGTCATAATAACGTACTGGATATGCTAACAAACCTTTCGGCCTGGGGTAATTCGTAATCAATGCAAAATATCATGCCTGAAAATCGAAGGACAGCCTACCTGGGTGAGAGGAAAGCGTGGAGGCGCGTTTGGTGAGGACGACACGCAGATCCCCGTCGTAGTCGCCGCCTTCGAAGAGGCAGATCAGAACTGTGGCTCTCGCAGAATTGGACCTTCGACCGACGCTAGTTTCGGAGCTGCTTGGTGTTTCGTGATGTTGCCAATCCGTTTGCCAGGAAGAAGGAGGCGGTTCGTAGCGACGGAGCCACCGCGCCAGGGTCGCGAGCCCGTGGGAGTCCGGGAGCATGAGCAGAGAGGTTCTTGATGGAGGAGTAGCAGTCATGGTTCGGTTGGGGGGTTGGTTGGAAAACCAGCAGTGTATTATAGAAGAGATGGACCCTTCTCTTGGGTCCATCCATTCGATCACACCTTACTTCTACCACAAGACTGAGTGTTACAAGACAATAAGGGACCTGAGTAATGCTAGGAAATGAACTTGATAGTGAACCTTCAAGATGGGAGTATCTATGGATGTCGTTAAGCAAACCTAGAGTACTCAAAATGATCAGTAATTTATTAATCAGTGTTCTTGGATATCGATTAATATAAGCATGCTAAAAGAGGAAATAACTCGATTTTTCCAAAACCGTGATTACCCATAACACGAAACAATCAACATTATGAGATTGTTGTTGTTCCACACGAAGGTGACGGCGATAATGAACACGCAGGCTCTGATAACGAACCTCTAACTAGCTCAGATGTTGATAATTTTAAAGAAATAAGTGATGATTTTTGGACACATCGGCAAATTTGAGACCTTAGTGGAAGTTGGGGGTCATTTTTTAGACAAAAAAAGGTGTGGGGCAGAATTAAGATTGGAATTAAAATAGGGGATTTTTTTATTTAGGAAATTAGCCCATAAAAATTCATGCTTCCATCAACAATCCAAGAAGTCTCAAACCCAAAAAAATGCGATCTTTTGTCAAGATGGGAACCAAGTTTCGCAATATTTCACCAAGAAAAAATGTTCAGCTGCTTCGAAAGTATTTTAGTAGGATTTAGTATGACCAACAATTATAGAAATAGGTGAGTTCGTGCTTAAAACATGACGACAAGAGAATGCTCAGATCATGATAAATACTTTTTCCTAATCTAAAGTTAACTCCGGGTCCTAAGAAAAAGGGGTGAGCGGCTATTATTGCAATATGAAATTGATGAGATTATACTGAAATAGAGAGACAATAACGATATGTTGTTGTATGTTTGCATTTTGTTGTTTTGGTGAATATGATCTTTGCTGACTTTTGTCACACCCCAATTCTATAAAAATAAGAAAAATGACACCACCGTCGTCCTACCCGAAGGACGTAGCTTCAAACACGAACCAACATAAACATGTTATCTATTTATATAATAATCTATATACTTGTGTTTTCCAACAGTTACATTGAATCCACTACCTTGACGGTTTTTTTTTTTTTGACTCCACTACGTTGGCGGTTGCTTTGACTCCACTATGTTGATGGTTACTTCTTCTTTCTGCATCTCCAACCAGTCACAACCGTCGACTTCCTCTTAATGTCGAAAACTCTACAGTGATTTTCTGAGTAAACTCAAAACATAAAAGTTGTAGATCTAGGAGTCTTCGTTCTTTTGGCTTTGGAATCAGGTCAATCCGATCTGTTTCGAAGAAGTTATGACCATTTTCCCGAACTAGCGCAGAATTGAAATTTCGTCGAGGTCCTCGACAAGATGAAATCACGACAATCGACTTCCTTTAACCTCAATGGATTCTACAGTGATTTTCTGAGAAAACTCAAAACATAAAAGTTGTAGATCCAAGAGTCTTCGTTCTTTTGGCTTTGGAATCAGGTTAATCCGATCTGTCTCGAACAAGTTATGACCATTTTCCCGAATTAGCGCAGAACTGAAATTTCGTCGAAGTCCTCGACAAGATGAAGTCACGACCGTCGACTTCCTTTAACCTCGATGGCTTCTACAGTGATTTTCTGAGAAAACTCAAAACATAAAAGTTGTAGATCCAGGAGTCTTCGTTCTTTTGGCTTTGGAATCAGGTCAATCCGATCTGTCTCAAAGAAGTTGATAATATTTGCTTCCACGTTACCTCAAGTCTCCGCCACATGTCCCTTGATGATCTTTGGCACAAACGAACCATGTCGACAAGTTGGCCATTTTTTGGTGTAAACAACTTGATAAACTGGTGAGTTAGTTACAAAATCAAGAGTTTTGAGATTCATAAACAAGTATATATACATCTCCAAACTCAATTAAACCCCACAAATATCATCTCATACATATACAAGTATCTAAACTCATATCCAAAATCCAACATTAAAATATTTCCGCCTATAACGCTCTCATCCAATATTAGCAGAAGAATTTGAAAAAGATTTGGAATGAATAGTGTGAAGAACCATAGCTCAGTGAGTATCACAAATATCTTTTAAGCAGATCAAGCATTCGTTATGCATATTTAAAGTAATACTAGAGACCCATTTATCCAAATCTAGTATATAATGTACAGTAAAATCCATATATGAGGGATATCACTTCAACTCGGTTTTATACTTATTAGAAATATTCATTCAATTTTCAAATATCAAAAGGGTAGTAAATACTATATCCGGTTTTATGCAACAACTATGTTTTACACATTTCTTTTTGGTTTTAAGAAAATCATATCGTGCAATGCCCTTCACAACTTATGATATATCAAATTCTATAACTTTCAAGACATGAGTTTACAAATTCATAAAATATCACAATCACTTCTAACCAAAATCCAAATCGAAATTTACGCCGCTCAGAAAGTTTCAAAATCCTATCGAAGATTAACTAAATGTCAAACTTGCGTGCCAACTAACCTCGACTAAAACTTTAGTTGGCGACACAATGTTCTTGAGTAAAATTGTCCACTTGACAATAGAGCTCTAAACAACTACTTTGCAAATAGAGTTGACCTCATCTCAGAACTCCAATTCAAGTGAGCTTACTGTCAAAAGAAAACTCTTTCGAACTACTAAAAGACCATAAACCCAAAAGATGGCTGGAGAAGGGCGAAAACCATTGCCAAACACAGTAATTCGAAAACTATTTCACGCAACGCGCGAAACTTTAAAAATTTATCCCCACCAAACCACAACCCTAAATTGACTTTCCTAAAGTCCGGCTCCACGACACTCTAAAATTTCTTTACAACATTTCACGGCTTAAACACCTCTAGAATCAATTCAGCAGCGAAGAGTCCAAATAAATCCTAATTTACAACTTAATTATGAAAAATCCTTTAGTTATAAGGAAAAAGAGTTTTGAATCCTTACGAGTTACTACGAAACAGAATTAATCCGGCTTGTCGAAATCTCCCAAGCGTGCATACAGCGTAACCCCTCTCTCTCTTTTTCTCGGCTTCTCCGAACTCTGCTTTCCTTCTTTTCTTGTTCTTTTTTTCCCCTTCTTGGCCAGACTTTGTTTTCTCTCTTTCTTGTTGCTCTTGTAATTTACCTTGCAATGGCATCAACAGAAGCAAGACCAAAGAAAGGGGTTTAAACGAGACACTTGGGCTTGGGCTTCATGTTTTGCTCTCGTTTATTATTTTTTGCCAAGCCCGGTTATTGCGACTTTAAATCTTTTAGGTTATTACGTATTGATGCAAACCATGCGAAGTGAGAATAAGGTCACCTTGCCCTGTGGTAAAGAAATTGAGTGGGGGTGGGGTAAGGTGGGGTAGGGTGGGGTGGGGTGAGATTCGGCTCTCACATTCTATTGAAAGAGAGAAGAGAATCAAAGTAGGATAGACCAAGATCTGTTTTTTTTTAAGAGTTAATATAACGAAAAACGCCAAACTGATATATCCGTAACAAATTTATCTTAAATTAAGTTTTTTTTACCACAAAAAATCTCAAATCGGAACACTCGTGATAAATTAACCTCTGTTAGTTTCCATTAAATTTTATCGTCAAATTTCTGAGTTGGATGACACGTGGCAGTTGACGGATGTACAGATTTGGATTTTACCCTCCGTTTGTCGTAGGTGTAACAGTTTGTGGTTTTTTGTGGTATTAATATAATTTAACGAATGATAAATTTATAAATTTACCAGTTGGGGTTTTTTTGTAATCAAAAAATTAATTTAAGGTAAATTTATCACAAATATATTAATTTAGGATTTTTCACGATATTAGTCCTTTTTATAACCCAAACAACAATTAATCGAAATTTGAAGGCGTTACACAAAGGTCAGGCTATTTTATGGTCACCCAGGTCACCCAAGTCACCATCCTTGGTCATAGTTGCTGCGGGGCTCGTGAGCCATCTTATGATCAAGCATTTATTCCAGGTCACCATCCTTGGTCATAGATTGTTGCGGGACTCGGGAGCCATCTTATGATCAAGCATTTGTAACATATTCCAGGTCACCATCCTTGGTCATAGTTGCTGCGGGACTCGGGAGCCGTCTGATGATCTGTTGGAGTTGGCGAATACTTCGGGAACCCTTGTTTCTCACACCGGGTACGCTCACATGAGCTTAGGGAAACTGAAGTGTTGCCCAACGACATATGACCCATGCGTGCGGAATGTGGGGGTTCGGGGGCAGTGCTCCCGACACGGGTGTCCCGCTGCCCAGTCGACGGGCGAGGGCTCGGGGGCAGCGCCCCCGAAACCTCAAAGGGTTTGGGCTGGCTCGTATGGTGCGAGATTAAGAGATTTCATATAGGTTTAGGTTTTGGGCCCGTTTGGGGCATATATATATTTTGCTTGTTTTTCTGATCATTGTAACGAGTTGAGTGGTTGTGAACCGAAAATATAATGAAATCTCTTTGCAGGACGTAGCCCTATTCGAGAGTGAACTTGGGTAAATTCGTGCATCGTCTATTTTTCTCTCATTTCTGCGTGATCGTTCTGTTTCGGTTCTCGACACGGCCCTTCGTGATCAAGCATTTTTTTTTTTTTTTGGTCGGTGATCAAGCATTGATCATCGTACGGCTCCCGAGTCCCGCAGCAACTATGACCAAGGATGGTGACCTGGGTGACTTCAGTGACCTGGTTGACCATAAAATAGCCAGACGTCTTCACCCCTCACCACGCCATGGATCTTACCTCCATTATCTCTGTCCTGGTCAACTTCGTCGAAGTGAAATACCAGGGGAAGTCGATTTCACCCTTTGAAGCTCACCCCGTCGCCACCGCCGTCGCCATCTGCAGCCTGCTCCTGCATTTCCTGTTGGTGTACGTCGCTGATCGGGCACCACCGTCTCGCGACCGTGCTCCTTCTTGTGATGGAGCATTGCACCTCCTCATTGACATCCCCGGTTCGATATCGGTGGCTTCGCTCGCGTGGTTGCTGCTCCACGACTTCTTCCACTCCGTCCCCTTGTTCGTGCTGCTCCTGTTGCTTTCCGTGAAACTGTTGCGCGGCCTCATTCAGAAACTTTGGCTGTGGTTTTACTGTAAAATCGTTCGCATGATTATCCGTGCGGCTCGTCTATGGCATGGTGGAAGAGCCGTGGATCTGCGTTTCATGCTGGAAGTCTGAGTGCCGAAGTTGTTCGACCGTTCCCTGGTTGAGAAAAGTAATCTTAGTTATATGACCGCTTTAAAACTAGTGATAAGTACTTTAGGAAGCCTGCTAGTTTTGTATAAGAGGCACTTGGGGCTTTCTTCTCTTTACCTGAAACCCATGAGGAGTCCCCAAGCCTCAGCATCAAATTATCTCCCGACCATAAAAAAGGAGAACAGGGAACAAGTAAAAACCACCCACAAATCGTTCCTATTCCTGGCCATGAATGGTGATGCACCTTGTAGTAACTAATTCCGATGAAGATAGGCTAACCCGCAAAAGAAATTGGGATCTATTGTTATCAAAGAGATCGATGATACCTCAACAATTATCACGACGTGGAGAATGGTTGTTGCAAGTAGCCATATAAAGTAGAAATTGTTCGAGGTTAAAGCTTCTGACCTCTTTGAAAACATTGCTCCGTGTTGCAGATTTCCTTCTTTTTCTGATCAATCTCTTTGTAGCTTTCTGTTTTGCCAGCGGAAAAATATGTGTCATTTTACATTCTTTGCGGGTATACTATGGTTTTGCTCATTTATCCACATGAACTGGGATAAATAGATGTCTTGGAGATGCGAGCACAGCTGCAATTTCAAAATTAACATCATTGAGTGATACAAATCAAAATGAAAGATGTCGGCTTTTTCCATCTCTGTCCCAGATACACCATTACTGCTTACTAGCCATTCCGATGATAATATAGTTTTAGTTTGTCATTGCAGAGCGAGAGAGGTTACATCATATAGTCTTCATTTTACCTCTGAGAGATGACGACTAGATCTTTGCTGTGGCAAATGCGTCAACTTGCAACCTAAGACTAGGTTGTCTCACTGGCTGATTGGTTTTTGGCCAGGAGCTTGAATTGTTGCTTCAGTCGGACATTCAAGTTGCCAGGGCCAAAGTGAGAAAAGAATGCTGAAATGTAGATTTTTTTTCGGTAGGCTTGAGTTCAATAACTGAATTTTGGTTGACTGTAGATCTTAGAACCGAACTTTTCCCATCTTCTTGCACTAAAGAATTTACAGTTCATGTACGCAGCTAGATAGGTAGTATGCAGATACTCTAGACATGTCTGTACAAACTACACACATCTGATGTTCCTATTCAAGGAAATTATTGGACCGGCAAGCAAGCGTCCTGACAAGTTGATTCATAGTTTGATTATGCATCCCATACTGATTCATAACATGGAGCACACAAGTCTTGCACTTTCAAAAATATGACATTTATCTGCTTTTACTGCAGAGAACAACAATCTTGGATATCGACTGTAGCAGTGAGTCCAACTGGCTTGCTTAAGAAGGCAAGTTGAAGCATCAAACAGAAAGGTGTTCTCCTGACTCCCGAATTCTTTTCATGTCGGTAAGTGCCTCCCCAACTCTGCAACTATATGCACTTCCCTTGTGGCTTTTTGGAGATCAGCATTGCACGTCTTTTCTTGATTACCTCCAATTAGTGCTCATTCTTTCCACTTTTTACCGCAGAACTGCAATATTTTCATCCAGTTCAGCAATAGCAGGGTCTTCAGGTAAGAGCAACAGATGATTCATCTTCAGTGAAAGCATGTATCACAGACAAGTATATCTTTCTCTTCTCAGTTGACCATTCTTCCTTCTCAGGCAATTTTTTTATCTACTTAATCAGTTGTGAATGCTACCCTTTAATCCTTAGGAACTTCTCATCAGCTGCAGGGTTTGGTTGCCCAAAACAGACTTGGCTTCGCCAAAAGTCCTAATCTCTTGAAGCCTGGCCGGCAAGGCATCCATCTGGCAGTAGGGTTCTCAACCTCGCCTCGCTCTCATGTCATGCTCTGTCCCCTCTGCATTCCATAGTCAAGGGTTAGTCCCATGTGTCAGTTTGTGGATCGCGGTCTCACACACTAATCCCTACAGATTCCTGTAAGAGGCCCAAATCATATTGATTTTAATTTTCATGCAGGTTCCTTCATCATTTGATATGAACTTGGAAGTTGATTTTCTTCACAGGTTTATCTAGAAGCCCGAATGCTTATTGCGGAAAACAATTCCCAGGAGAATTATCATGATACCAAGTCAAATAATGAAGCTAAGTACATGATCTACAGTATAACTTAAGACTGCAGGACTGTCAAATGCTTCTTCTAACTCGGTAGCAGATACTTCAAATTGTTACCTTTAACTGGAGCGCAAATGTTACTGAAGAGACTGAAAATACTTTGACAATTATTATGACAAGGAGGATGGGGAGATTTTTCGTTGTTTGTTTCAAGGTTATCTAAGATCCTACTATGCCAAAAGATTTGGAAGTTTTTTCTTTACTGAAAAGAGAAAAAGAGGGACGTTCATGAAAAATGTCACTTTTACTAGCATTTTCAGATACCAACTCTTTATTATCACATTGCCACATGTCAAATGTTGTCATATGGTCGTTTCTAGTTGCCAAAATAAAGTCGATAGTGTTCTTTAGGTTAAAGCTTCTGAATTCTTTGAAAACATCACGAGCGTCACAGTTTCGCTCTTCTTTTGTTTCTGGCGAATCTCTTCGTAACTATCTGTTTGGCCAGTGGATCTACATGTGTTATTTTACAGATTCTTTGCTGGTATACAATGAGTTTGCTCATTTATCCATATGAACTAGGATAAATAGATGCCTTGGAGGTACGAGCACAGCTGCAAAGCTTTGTTCTATCATCATAGAGTTATACAAATCAAAATGAAAAATGTCAGTTTTTTCATCTCTGTCCAGTATGCACGGGTACTGCTTACTAGCTATTCTAATGATAATTTTGTTTGAGTTTGTGATTGCAGAATGACAGAGTGGTTACTTCATCTAGTCAGCATTTTACCTCTGACAGGTGACAACTAGATCTTTGTTGCGGCGAATGCGTCAACTTGCTTCAGCAAATAAGATTTATAAAGACAGCGACTTCTTTTGTGATATATCCTGTATGTATCCTGAATCTCTTGGATCTGAATAATGCAATCTAAGACTATGTTGTCTCACTTGGCTGATTGGTTTTCATCCAGGAGCTAGAGTTGTGGTTCTTCCGTCGGAGATTCAAGGTGCCAAGATCAGGCATGTCACCGATTTGCTTTGCAATGGGAGCTCTAAATTAACAAGCAATAGAGATATGCAGGACACTAGTATTAGACAACCACAATGTAGTAACCATATATCAGTCTTTTACACTCTAGCATGTGGAACTAGGAGAATCAACACACAGATGTCCGTCATGATTTCGAACTTGCTACCAAACCCTGTTTTTCCAAGTAATGAGTTTCTCCAATGTAAATTGACACTTACCAACTTGGTAGCTCAAATTCATGTTTCTGTCTCTACTTTAGATGAAAAAAATGGTCACTCTGACAACGTCAAGATTGGAACCGTATTGAGATTGTTAGTGATTATGTAACAACACAGAACATCCTAGGAATGCCAAAATTTGGGACAGAGCTCTGCAAATGCCAGCAGCCGCTGGTATACGACTGATGCAGTCCTTATCAATATCCCAGCTGTTAGAGGAAATATTACGTACTTATTATCCACTGTTTGATAGTCGAAGAGATGGAGCAGATACTTGTCTCCCATCCACTCCCTCTCCTCCGCCCTTCTGTTCTCATCCTGTAAGACATCCGCCAAATTCAAGCAGCTTCTTAAGATAAATTTCTCTAACGATAAATTTCTCGTAAAAGATTAGGTTTCCCCGACACAAACGAGGAGCAATCGCTGTACCTGAAGGAACATTTCTAGGGGCGCATTGAAGATCACTTCCACCTCGGCCGGATTCGGGGCTGGACGATATGCATTCTTGTCGGAATGAATGCCAACCAGGGGAACCACCGTGATACCTCGGTATGCAAATTGAAGACGGCAAAAGAAACTTTAGACAGAAATGTTTCATGATCTATTTTCAGTCATGAGATAGGCAAGATCAACCATATTTGCTGGTTGTTTCACAGTTCGAGCAGTAAATCCCGAAGAAACACGGCACTGCAGTTTACTGCAGCCTCTGATTGTGAGCATCGGTACTATTATCTCCAGCATAGTTTCCTCATCTCTACGAAACATTATCGTTCCGAGAAACGACTAGCTAAGCATCGGCATCACTTGACACGTGAGTTATCCTCATCCATTGACATCGCTTGACTAGCAACACATCGGCATCACTACACGCTCGCTGCGAAGATGGATCCAGTGGGCTAGCAATGGTGACTCATACAGCTGCAATAGAACCAACGTACAAGCTGGATTAATGTCCTTGCCTTGGTCGCAAACGGTGGAAGAACAGTGACGACTTCAACAAGAGATGGGTCCAACCCAAATCTCCTCCTTGGCCTCCTCGAGGCTTGTTGAGGAAAATTCCTATTGATTTTGAGGTTGACAAAACCTTCTGTGTTATTGTAAATCTGATACTTATTCTGAACAATTTTATTCCGGTCCGTATATTCGGAAGCTCAAAGAAAGTTATTCGACTTTACAATCTATCAAATATGTTTTTGAAGACCCACATAATCTAAGTTCAGATTCGAAGCGTGTTTCAGATGCGAAGCGAGAAGTTATTCGGATGCGGATGCGGACGAAGAAATTATTCGGACGCAGAAATTCTTCGACGCAGACACGCGAAGTTCTTCCGATGCGGCACGAGCACTTTCTTCGACGCGAAATTCAAAACGTAACACAACAGCTAGTGATCCGGCATGGATTTCACGAAAGGAATGTTCCGATTGTCTCAATCTGAATCAAATTGATTGACAATCAAACATCATGACAAGAATGCATTACAACGGACAAAGTTCTACTTATAGAAACTAAGATTCCGATTGTATGGGCGATCGAATTAGCGGGATTCGAATCTCAACCAACGGCTACTAATCCTTACTATACAAATCTGTCCAAGGTAAAGATTGGAAGATGATCCTCTCGAATGTTTGTCCAACGGCTAGTTTGGAAGTGGAGGAGTATTTAAGGAGATCAATGAGCAGCGAAGGATGTACGAGAATCAAGAATCAACAAGTCCAAAGTCCGAGCTTAATCCAATCATTTTCTCTTGTCATTCGAGCCAAATATTAAGATCTTGAGGACACTTTGTAAGAGTGATTGTATGAGATAGAGAGTCCTATCATACACAAGAGTGTTAACACTCGAAGTTGTAATTCCTCTTGATTACATAGTGAAATCCAGCCAGAGGCAGTAAGCGTGGGAGAGTGGACGTAGGCTTCTATAAGCCAGAACCACTATAAACTTGTGTCAGATTCTCTTTCCCTTATCTCTTACTTTACATTCCGCACATCAAGAGCACGCCTATATAATCTGTCTTGAATCTGAATTTTATTCGAGACTCTTCGTGATTTATTTTGTTTCCGCATAAATTACTAAAAATTGTTTTAGATCACCTATTCACCCCCTCTAGGTGATCCTTGCTAGCTACATCAATTGGTATCGAGCGGGTTGCTCATTTATTGAAGTGTCTTACTTCCGAGCTAACGATCTATATGGCTAGCTATGGTGCTCCGAGCTCATTGAAGGACGAGCAACAACAGACCACCATATTTCGATGGCAAGGAATATAGTGTCTGGAAGAATAAGATGAAGGCATTCATAAAGTCAATTGATCACATGCAATGGGATGTCATCATCGAGGTGTCAATCCAAAATCTTCGATTCAAAAGAAAAGGCGATGCAAGCAAAGCAAAGGATCCTCTATTATCTCAAACTGAGATATCCAAAAGAGAAACCTTAGATTCCAAAGCAATTTATTCTCTTTATTGTGCCTTATCACCTATTGAATATAAAAAATTGCTGCTTGTGAATCGCCTAAGAAAATGGGATACTCTCCTTGTTACTTATGAAGGAACGGTCGAGCCAAGGAAACTCAAATCAATCTTTGCTTGGTCAATATGAATCTTTCAAAATGAAGCCTGGAGAATCAATTGCTGATTTGTATGACGGGTTCTACGATATAGTAAACGGTTTTGCTTATCAAGGACAACCGGGCGGATGCAATGAAAGTCAACAAACTTCAGAGAGGCCCGACAAATCGTGGGACAACATCAAAACATCTCTTCGAGAGACACAAAGATCAAGCCTCTATCGGTGAATGAGTTGATTGGAACTCTTCAATCATATGATACGAAAACGAAATGAGGAGATTGAATCCAAAGGTAATAAATCAATTGCTTTGAAGACTAACATTGATTCGATGCATTCAAGATGAAGACGTTGATGATAAAGAACTAGCTCTGTTTATAAAGAAGTATAAGAAAATGAAGATCAAATGAAGAAACCTCGAGAGGAAAGAAGCCTTTTGAGAAGAAGAAATCTTTCGATGAGACGAAAGATCGAAGGATGTTATATGCTTTCACTATAAGAAATGTGGACATATCAAGCCAAATTGTCCACTTCGAAAAAAGAAGACCAAGTTTGAGAAAGCAAAGAAGACCTTAAAAGCAGAAACACGGAGTGACACGAATGTGAAGACAAGGTGATGAAGATTTGTCCTAATGGCTAAGTCGGACTCGACTCGATTGATTCTAATCCCAAAGTGGAGATTGAGGTAAAACATTCGACATGCCTATTGAAGTATCAAATTACATTGATGAATTATGCTTTGAATTCAAGACTGCTCTTAAATGCATCTCTTCTTTGAAAAAGGAAAATTCATCACTGAGGCAACAGGATGTTTCGCAAAAAGAAAAAATCGATTTCCTTCAAAAATAATTTTATCAAGTCAAGGAAAGTCGAGATTTTCTTTCCAAAGAAAATGCGTTTGAAAAAGCAAGTTTCGAAATTACTTCCAAATTTTCAAAGGGTTCGAAACCTTGAAGCATATCCTTTCTATCCAAATTCCTTACTACAACAAATGGTCTCGGATTTGTGAAGGAAAGTGATAGCTTGATTGATTTTCCAAAGGTCAAGGAGAGATTAAAACAAAGACCTCATCGACAAGCTTATAAAAATCATTTCAAAAGGAATTTTGTAAAACCTGTTGGCCGAAGTGCACTCGGGTGCTCAAAATGTGGAGATCCACAACATTTTGAGAATGAATGTCCTAAGGTCCGGAGACTGTTAGAAGAGATTTTGTTAAGACATATACTAATGCTCAAGGACCCAAACAAATTTGGGTACCAAAGAAAACTTGAGATGTTGTGTTTTTTGCGAGGTTACCACAAAGAGAAAAGGAAGTGGTACCTAGACAAGGATGCTCTAGACATATGACAGGAGATCCAAGTATATTCGTTGATCTACACAATCCGAATGGTGGAAAAGTTTCCTTTGGAGGAAATACCAAAGGAAAAATCGTTGGCAAAGAAACAGTTGAAATTGGAGAACTTACAATCAATGATGTCTCATTGGTGAAAGGACTCAACTACAACTTGATAAGCATAAGCCAACTATGTGATACAGGTTTCAGAATCAATTTTCAAGAAGATACATGCTCAGGGACAAGCAAAGATCCTTCTCAAACATTTACAGGAAAAAGACATGGCAATATCTATCTTCTAGATGTCAAGCCAAACTCCACTCATTGCTTGATCTCAATCAAAGAGGATGAAGATCTATGGCATAGAAGATTGGGGCATATCAGTATGAAACAAATCTCAAAGATCTCAAATAAGAAACTGGTTCGAGGTCTACCAGATTTGAAATACAAGAAAACAGAGTTATGCAAAGCTTGCACTCTAGGAAAACAAGTAAGAAGTTCTTTCAAGTCTATACATCATGTTTCTACTGATCGTGCTTTGCAGCTTCTTCATCTGGACCTATTTGGACCAACCAGAACACAAAGTATTGGTGGTAAGAAATATTGTGTAGTCATTGTTGATGACTTCACAAGATTTACTTGGGTGTTCTTTCTTGCTCATAAAAATGAAGCATTTTCATATTTTTCAAAATTTGCAAAAAGAGTTCAGAATGAAATGGGCTATTCCATTTCTTGCATTAAAACTGATCATGGGGGAGAATTTGAAAATCAAAGTTTTTCATATTTTTGTGAGGAAAATGGCTTTCAACACAATTTTTCTATTCCTTACACACCAGAACAAAATGGTATTGTGGAAAGGAAAAATCGTTCTTTGCAAGAAATGGCAAGAACTTTGCTGATTGAAAGCAAAATTCCTTTTATTTCCGGGCGATACGGTTTTTACAAGATGCTATATCATTAACAGAGCTTTTCTCAGACCCATTCTTGAGAAAACCCCCTATGAGCTTTGCAAAGGTAGAAAGCCCAACATTTCATATTTTCGTGTGTTTGGTTGTAAATGCTATATTCTGAAAAATCCAAATGACCGCACTGGAAAGTTTGATGAGAAAGCAGATGAAGGGTTTTTCCTTGGATACTCTACTTCAAGTAAGCATACAGAGTCTACAACAAGAACTCTCAGACTGTTGAAGAATCAATGAATGTGAGGTTTGAAGAAAACATTCAGACTCACAGAGATGAATCTGAACTATCTCCCAACATTCAAGAATTATCAGAAGTATCAGAAGGCAAAGAAGATATAATACAGACTC